AAGCACAATCCGACTGGATCCCTGTGATTACAAGGGGCACACACACATGCCTCCCCCAGGGGAGGCGTAAAGCTAAGGTGAGGGCCAATGTGCACGTGTGCGCGCGCAAGACAAAAGAATGAAGACATGTTGAGACGGGACAAAGGTGCGTGTGGTGGAAATGAAAGGGGAACCAAGTGCACAGGGACACCCGATGAAGCCCACCTCATTGTAAAGACCTGGGCGACCTGAAACCTGTGTTTAAAGGTATGTAAAAGTGCACGTACACACTAAGGCCGGGACCAATGTGCACGTAAACGAAGAAAAGGATGAGATGAACAGACATGAACACAGGAGGACATGAAAGAAAAGAGGGAGCAAAAGTGTGTGAAGGGGAAGGAATGAAAGGGGAACCAAATGGAGGGGACGAGAACCGATGAGACCAAACCTCATTAGAAGCACCTAGGACCTGCCTCGTTTGAGTGTAAGCGCTGTGTGTGCACCTGAGGTGGGGACAGGTTCCAATGAACCTTAAACTTGCTTTGACCGCTATGGTCACCTTGTGCCCTGCCGAAATGGCTGGCTGCTTTGACCGCTGCGGTCACGTAAAGGCATGAGCCAACTTGGAATTCTAAAAATGAGACAAACGTCCCACTTCTTGTGGCGTAAGCCATCTGCTGTCCGCTCCGGACACTTACATCTCCGGGCAGGGGAGATAACGACAAACCCCCGTTCGACGGGTCCACGGGAGGCACTCTGCGGGCTCATCCCGGGATGGCACGAAGCCAAACACACTTAGGATAGGGTGTACTGAACTGAAAGCGGTGCCACGCGCCGGCCTAGGGTTCCATTTCCTAAGGAACATGTAAGGAAACCTAAAAGGAAGAGGAGGTCTAACAAGTTCAGCGAGGCCATAAAGTCAAAAGGAACCGCCGAACGATCGACCGACAGAATGACGTCGTCCGCAGAAAAGCCAAGTTCATCACCGCTGCATTAGGCGCTTACTGCAAAACACAGAATTGGAACAGCTTGTCCATTAAGTAGGTTTCTCTCCAAGCAGGTACGTCAATCCGGCGTCCCGGATTGATTTCACCAGCACACATCCAGTGTCTTCGTTGGTGCAAGACTGGATGGGCTGCTTGCACCCCCTGCTTAAAAACAAAAAGAAGAAAGCACAATCCGACTGGATCCCTGTGATTACAAGGGGCACACACACACACATCCCCTCCTACCAGGGGCCTGCTCGAAAGGTTGAAAATAGATGAAAATACCGGGGTCGTTGGATCTCACGGCCCTTTGACACCACATCCACAGGAAGAGCCCACCAGCCCGCTGCCACATGAAAACAGGAAAGAACTACCTGACAATTCACCAGTCTTCCGACCAAATCTGTCCATCTTCACAAGGTATCACATGGTTGTGTCCGTAAAAGGGGAGACCCCGCAAAAAGGCACTGGTGAGACTGGTGAAACACAAGTCTCCCTTTTGACTTCACAAGGCGTCACCAAATCCTCACCTTGGATCCGTCAAGGATGTTGTGGAAGAACTTCTTGCCCACGCCGGTCTTGCCACTGGGCTCATCCCAGGTCTTCCCCGAGGGGTAGGCTGGGTAAGGGCCGCCCTCGGGGTCCTTCTCCTGCGAGGACTTCATGCAGAAGACCAGCTGCAGATGGTGGCTCAGTGTTTCTCACACTATGGACGCAATCCCACGGTCCGATCTCAACAGCGCAGGTGGCCCATGACTTCGGCTGTTGCGCAAGGATTCCGCAAGGATTGTGGAGTTCCTGGGTGTAGTTGTTTCATGAGATTGGTAAGCCTTTTGAAGAGTAACTTTATAAGTGATCCACTATTCTAATACACACTCATCATCACACCTCTCTCTCTCTCTCTCCTAGACAGACTGGCCCCCGCAGTAATCTCCTGCTTCTTGGCCGCCTCGAAGTGCTCCTGGTGGGTCTTCTCCAAGGTGCTCACTGAGATGTTCATGTCTTTGCACAGCTCCTGGGTTCCAAGGTGACATTTAGAATGATAAGATATATATATATATATGTGTGTCATTCATGGACTTGTGGGACAATCGCAATATCCCATCAACTAGTGACTCTAGTAGTTGTATAGCTCGGAAACACCAAGATGAAGACCCTATTTGCTGGGTGGATGCTGGCGCAGGTTTGGTATACCGTTTGGTATGCAATGATGACTGGCACAAAGTGCTAGCCATCCGTCACCCATCATGATTCACAGCTTCAGCAGGTTTCTAAGTGGACATCAATCCACAGGATCCAGACCATGTGGGACGGGCTGTTGCAACGGTCTGACCGAAGGCCCAGTCTGGCGGTGCCATGGGAGACCGAGGCTGACTGGCCCAAGTCTCTTCGCCCGACTGGTAGAACTTCATGACCCCACGGCCAGTGTAGTGCTTGCAGTGCCAAATGATTTCGTCAGAGGCCGCCTTGTTGAGGATCCTGGATTCGGAGGAACCGGCTAAAACCTGGTGCTTTCGCAACAGATACAGGCTCACGAGCACGACCACGTGCCTAAACCGCTTGTGGAGGCCGGTGCCAGTGGCTTGTGGAAGTGGCCAGCAACCTGTACAACCACCTGTTCGTTTCTCATGATCTCTATAGTCTTTAGCGTTTTGCTTCTGACAACATTCATGAACCAGAAAAGAATCTCCCAGCATAGAAGTCTGCTGACAAAGATCACCCCTCATGCCCCTCATGTGGTGAGGCGACTAGCAGAAACCCACCCTTTGAAGCTGACGAGGGAACCCTACATCTTCAGGAATCCTTTTGTCGTCGATTTGTAAGCATGCAGGAAAACTGACTCCCACAGAAAGACACACCAAACAATACAACACATGGCTTTCCGAGGAAAAGGTAGAAAAACAGAAAACACATGTGTAACGTCGAACCGTCCCATCAGCCGCCAGCTGATTGCCAGAGCCTCAGCCACCTGCCGAGTCCTCTTGTCCTGGCATCCAACCGCCCACCCATATTTGGCCAAAATGCAGGCGGTAGGGCGGCTTCGACTTCCTGAGAATTGCTTGAGACGTGGTCAGCTTTTCAATGCTGGAGTGTGGATTGTGAGCGTCAGCTTTTATTGTTTGGAGTTTCGGAGACGGAGAACAACCTCTTGGTCTGCTGGAAAAAAGGGACCCTAAAGAGCCTAAACAATTCCACCCACGCAGCGCGCAGAACTGCGGGGTAAATTCCTTTGGTCAAGATAGCCACCGGGCGATCATCAATCCACACTGCGCGCTGTCCCTTCGACATTTCACTGTCCCTTCTTTGTGTAGGAACAAGTGCCACGCTAGTAGCAACAGGTGCCTTACTAGTAGTAACAAGAAGCTATTAGAAACAAGTGCCACGCTAGTAGTAACAGGTGCCTTACTAGTAGTAACAAGAAGCTATTAGAAACAAGTGCCACGCTAGTAGTAACAGGTGCCTTACTACAGTAGATGGACCAAATATTCAAGCCCATGTATCAATAACTGTCGCCAACCCCTGACCCCCAAAGGTCAATGTTGAACATAACTTGATTGAATTTGTGTTTCCAGGGTTTGATTTGTTTCGTCCATTCGCCGAAACATTCTTGCAAGACCTCTAACATTGAGCTTTGGGGTAGAAGGGGTCCACGTGGTTGAAAGGGTTTGAATATTTCGTCCATCTACGGTACTGGGTGTGGACGGCGACCGGAGACCTCACATGCGTGTGTTGTTTTCAAGTGATGCCGGGCGGTTCCAGCTACTGTTCTTACTGTTGCCATGTGCTGTGTCTGTTCCCAGTCCCTTTCCAGTGCCTTTCCAGCGCCTTTTCCAGTGCCTTTTCCAATGCCTTTTGCACTTTCTCGTGGCCCTGCCAGCAAAAATGTGTTTCTGGTAAGTTTTGTTGAAGCAAAAAGATAAGCTATCTCTTTTTAGCAAAAAAGTGAGTCACATGGCAAAATCACTGGCAGGCGCACACAAACCGTGAAAAGGCA